AGGCTTTGCTCACTGGGGAGAGGAGATCTGCCCATGACATTAACTGCAGCGGGAGGTCCTGCACCAAGCAGGTGGTGGGTATGAGGAGGTGTGCCCAGAGCAGGCTGCAGTGCTCTGTGTGTGTGTGTGCGCACACTGTGCAGACTGCGAAGGGTGTCTCTGTGCTTGAAGGGGTCATTTTTCTCCTGTTCCCTCAGTCGCAGGCAGGGGCAAGATCCTCTTCACCTTCCTTCCCAGTGTGACAGCTGATTATTCCCCAGGTTCTCTGGCCAGGTGTCCCTCTAGCCTGCCCTATTTTATAGGGTGAAACATTGTCTTGTCCTATTGCACAGGCTTTTGTTAAATTACCCTTTCTCCTGCCCCAGGTTGGCCCAAGGACTGCAGTGAGGTCCCTGCCGGCAGCCACAGCGGCGTCTACGTCATCCAGCCCACAGAGATGCACCCCATCGTGGTCTACTGCGAAATGGATCTGATGGGCGGGGGCTGGACGGTGATCCAGAGGAACCGGGAGGACACGGAGATCAGCTGGGCCGAGTCCTGGAACACCTACAAGTACGGCTTTGGGAACATGCACACCGAGTACTGGCTGGGCACCGAGTACATCCATCAGATCACCAAGCAGAAGATCTACCAGGTGAGATTTGTCATCTGGGATGCCTCAAACAACATCCACTTTGCAGACTACAACCTCTTCAGCCTGGACGATGAGTCCCAGGGCTACCGGCTGAGGCTGGGCTCCTACTCGGGGACGGCAGGGGATGCCATGGACTCGGACAGTCCCAGGAAGGTGCACAACAACATGAAGTTCTCCACAAAGGATCGGGATCAGGACACTTACAGAGGGAACTGCGCCTCCCGCTACGGGGGTGGGTGGTGGTACTCGGCGTGTTATTCTGTCCGGCTGAACGTCAAGGGGGGCATAACGTGGGGCAGCCTCTGCAAGGGGAACTGCAAAGCTTCAGCCATCCTCATCAAACCAGCTCCCTACCATTAGTGCTCCTTCCTCCTCCTGGCTGCACTGGGCATGTGGCCAGACCAGGGCTCCGTTTGCTGGCTGCAGGGATGAATAGGGCTGTTCCTGTATATCCAGAGATGTTTTCTTTTCCTCTTCTCTTGAAAAGCAACAAAGCTCCCTGCTTTGTCTCTGGCCTTTTGCCTGTGGTGGGTCTTTAGAAAAAGTTATAAATGCTGCAGTTTCCTTCTGGGGAGAAAACTGCTCAGAAACCTAAAACCTCCTGATCCAGCAAGGTCTTATTCTCTTTTTGCTTTGCGTGTATAGATGATATCAGTCATCACTAGCTAACCTGACCCAACCTGCTCTGAGTCCCAGCAGTCCACATACACACCTAACCCCTTCTGTAGCCTGCGTTTGCCCTGCGGAATAAAATTGCTTTCAGAACCTGCACAAACCCATGCGAATGCCCTTCCTTTTGTTTGGGAACTTCTCGCAGCTGCTGCCCAGACTCCATTCGTGCTTGAGATTGCCCCAGTCCAGGTGCAGGACCTTGCACTTGGCCTTATTGAACCTCATGAGGTTGGCAGGGCCCACCTCTCCAGCCTGTCCAGGTCCCCCTGGATGACATCCCTTCCCTCCAGCGTGTCGACCACACGGTGCAGTTTGGTTTCAGCGACAAACTTGCTAAGGGTGCACTCGATCCCATGGTCCATGTTGTTGACAAAGATGTTTAACAGCACTGGACTGGATACCAACCCCTGAGGGATGTCACACACCACTGGTCTCCACTCGATATCAAGCCATTGATCCCTCTCTGAATGCAACCATCCAGCCAAAAGTTCAAACTTCCCTCCATCACAAAGCAGAGCTGTAGCCGCACTCCCCCGCTGCAGCTGAGTACGATGCGACTGACTTACCCACATCTCTTACACCCCCAGGGAGCCCACCGCCCTCTCCGCACTCCAGCCCATGATGGTTCCTTCCCTTGCCCGGCACAGAGCAACCACCCACCCATGGACAGGGGCAAATTACGAGCGAGAGTTTTGCAGGATACTGGGCTTTGCTGGCCCTGTTGGCTGATCGTATCCTCACGGCCACAGTTCACAGCATTGCTTGAGCAAATCATCTTGAAACCAGCAGCCGCCAGCCAGCCCTGGGGAAGGTGACTTCTGCCTGTCTCAGGGAGATCTGGCATCCCTTGGGCAGGTGTGTTTCCTTGCTCAGGAGAGGACTTGTATAATATACTTAATTTGCTGCAGGTTCACCACCCTGGAGACCGGACAGAGTGATTCCCCCCCACACTTATATGCAGTGTTGCAGCGGCAGGTAGACACAGGGCAGCAAAGTCTGGCTCCAGGGTTTATTGCAGCTGATTTCTCCCACCATGGGTAGCAGAGCTGTGGGGCATGTGGGGCCTGGGGAGGGAGCAGGGCCTGAGCAAAGCAGGGATACATCGACCACACAGGGAAGGGAATTTGCACCATCTCCCCCTCCCTGGGACAGGAGTGGGTGCACCCACCCCAAATCAGTGCCTGTGTCCCAGTGCCGGCCAGCATCGTGGCACTGACCGAAGCTGCTGGCGTGCCCAGGGCTCTGGGTGATTGCTCCTGAGCCCTAGAGCCGCCGTCTTTTGGCTGGTGACAGTGCAGGAGCTGCAGGCACGGGAACGGGGCACTGGGCTGGGGGCGGTGGCACTCCCACAAACTGGCGGGAGGCTGGGCTCCGTGGCACGGTCAGCACACGTCTGTGGGTTTGACCAGGATGAGGGAGGACGCGCAGTCGCCTTTATCACAGAACCCTGGCCAAAGGATGTTTTTCTGGGTGTTGAGCAGGACGTTGTGGCACCTGTCGTACCACCAGCCCCCGTAGCTGCTGGCGCAGTTTCCGCTGTACTGGTCCTGGTCCTTGTCAGTTGTGCTGAACTTCATGTTGTCGTGTATGCCCCCCTTCTTGGGGTGATAGAGGGTCAGGTAGTCCTCCCCATCACCAGAAAACCGGCCCAGCCTCAACGGGTACCCGCTATCCTCGCTCTCCACCCTGAAGATGTCGTACTCGGCGTAATGGGTGACGTTGGCTTTGTCCCGCACAACAAAGCGGACCTTGTAGGTGCGTTGCTGCGTCAGCAGGTGCAGGTACTCGGTGCCCATCCAGTGATCGCTCTGCACGTTCCCGAAGCCGTACTTGTAGGTGGTCCAGGATTGCTTCCAGTTGATCTCAGTGTTGTGAGAGTTTCTCTGGACGACGGTCCAGCCCTTGCCTTCGGTGTCCATGTCGCACCACACCACCCGCGGCGGGGACGCTGCCGGCTGGATGACGTACACCCCGCTGGGGCTGGTCTTGCGGAGGTGGCTGCAGTCTGCGGGGAATGCTGTGGTGGCGGCGGTGGCCAACACGGGGTGGGGAGGGGGAGAGAGAGGGATCATGTAAGTCTGTCAAGGAGCTCAGGACAAAAGGGCTGGTTTTACCTGGGGTCTGCTCCACAGCGCAGAGCAGCTTCCCTGCTGGCTCAGTGATACCAAAGGTGTCGAAGACAGTGGCCCTGGTAAGAGCCCTAGGATCTATTTCTCACGACTTGCCATCTCATTTTGAGCCTTCTGGCCAAGAAAAGAGGGGAAAAACATCTTCCAGATGCTGATGATGTCCTCCAAGTACACCTGGCCCCCACAAGGGTTTTGTGTATATTGACCTGCAGCTCTTGCAAGGATCAGAAATGGACCAGGATATATAATGAAAATTTATGTTTTCTCTAGGGGTCATGGCACTGCAAAGGAAGGCTAAGTCCTACCTTGATCTCACAGGGGTCTCTGCCCCCAGCTTGTTGCAGCTGATCTGCATTATCTGTCATGACTTACTTGCCAAACTATTTTGCTGTCTGATTTGTTTTTCTTGTTTTGTGCCTGATGAAGGACAGTTTGTTGTGGGTCATTCCAATTCAGCCCACGAAATTCTATTTTTCTTGAGCACACAGGTCTTGCAGTGAGGGTAACTCTCCTTTGCAGGGAGGAAGGGAATACTCCTAACCCAACAAGAGCTTAAAAAACCCCGGTTGCCAGGAGGTTCTCTCCTAGAACTGAAGTCTAAAAAGACACAAGGACCACAGAGCAATCCTGCCAAATTAGGGTGTTTGGGCAGAAACCTCTTGGTTCTCAGCATGGAGCCACCAAGAGGGTGACGCTGGTTTGGAAGGTGTCAGGTTGCTTACCTTACAAACCATGGCCCAGGGGATGGTGTGTGAGGAGCTCTCGTGTTGTGCACCAGCCTGGGAGCACGTTGGCCTCCCCAGTGCTTTGCAGACCCAAGAGTGGGTGCAGAGCGAGGGAGACGCTTCCCTGCTCCGCACCTTCGTGCCCACCCAGCGCCCCCCAACCCGACTCGTACTCACCACTCCGGGGGCTGGCGGTGGGTGCTGCTGGGCCAGCGCTTGCGCCGAGGAGAAGCATCGCCACCACTGTGGGTAGGAGGACAAGGTCCCCACGGAATGAACTTGTCCCAGCCTGGAGCCCTGGAGAGGAAAGTGCCCATCACCGTCAGGATCCCCGGGCAGCCCCCCCGGCCCCAGGA